TGGGAACGGTCCCCGAAGTCAAGAAGGCCACTGAGGTGATCACTAGAACATTTCACATCCGGGCAGAGGGCGAGCGGCGTCGAAGCCCTCAAGATGTGAAGAGGGAGTTTGGGAAAGTCTCAGCCAGGATGTAATTAGAGTCATCAGGCCCTGTTTAGCTGACATGAATGGTTAGTTCTCTCACTCTCGATCATAAGATCTTACTTTTTTGAAATGCGTGGAAAATTCAACTGAACAGGTAAAGGAAAAAAGAGGAGGAAAAGGATGAACAGATGAGGTGTAGGGGAGGGGGCAGTAATTTGTAAAAGAACATAAAAGTTTTAAAATCTCAAGTTCTTAAGTCTTCCTGGAGTGAATCAGAGTCCAAACAGCGATGCTGAAGAAGAGCAGGCGAACGTGGGAATCTGCTCCGACTGTTTTTGATTTCCAAACGTTGCCATAAGGTTTTCCCCCAGGGCCTCTTTTAACTGAAGTCATTCCATTTTCCTACACTTGAATCAGGCAGTGCTTTGGTTCCAGCTGAAGGAATGCTGTACATTTACAGTTTTATTCATTAAAAAGTGATGCGATGACTGCTTATTTCTCTTGGGAAACTTGCTTCAGGAAGTTCCAAACCTTGTTGAATGCAAGTTAAAACCGCCCATGAAAGGCCTATGGGAGGTGAAACGATACCGGCAGCCCAGAGCCCAGACTGAGCTCCAAGTCAACAGCTGAAACCTCCTTTCTGGGCACAGTAAATTGTCCTAGAAGTGCAAGAGAGCCAGCAGTACCATGATGCCTCAGTGATGCTCAGCTGGTGCTGTGCAGATAAGCTACAAGCACATCTCCAAATCTTGCCAAGTTTTCAATGTTATGAGCAAAATGTACAAGTGTTACTGTTTTCAGTCACTACATTTTGGTGGTTTTCTATGTAGCAGTGATAGAACAAGTAGCTAACTTAACCAGAGACTATACATCACTTTACATTTCAATAAGACTATGATGTTTGGTGGATAAATATTTGCCACAATTATTTAAATGGATAGAACTGAAACCCTCTTGTTCAAAGATGGTAAGGAATGATGGAACAACGTTTGAAAACCAAAGGGGGGGTGGTGTTCCCATCAGACTCAAAGTAATGTTTAAAATGAAACACTCATCTGTCTGTACGTGGCTATTACAACCCAATAAAAATGGTGTGAACGTCAATACAGTGGCCATGATATTAAATGATTTCTTTAAAGCTAAGCAGATCTATTGACTCAGTTTGGAGGAGCTGTGTTGGAAGAAGAGATCATTTATAAAGAGATCAACTGATCATTTATAAAAGTCAATAACTTCTCCTTCTCTAAGATCTGCCTCCTGCAGCGTATCAGCAATTTGGGGGCCAAGTTTTTCAGATTTATTTATTTAACTCAATTATTATAGTATCAATATATACCTCCACCTGAGATCTGACAGGCACACTAGTCACATGATTACACAGGAATAAGGTGATACTAAAAATGTTATATTTTTCCTTGGGATTTTAATTAAGCATTCATAAAGAACAAATAATGTTCTAATCTCCAAGCCTTGTTTAGAGGATTAAACAAAATTACATCATGACATATAATTTCAGGTAATGTACATCTACTTATACAAATAATTCTGTATTCACCTTTTTGTATGTAGTACTACTTATTACCTGAACAAATTAAATTGTTCACCTTACACTTTGGTCTAATGTGTGAATCGTAAACGTAGGGGTATCTAGCTAGCTTGGATGACTAGAGCTCATGAGAGCATGAGGAGCCAATCAGAGGAGGTATGAGCTTCCAAGCATGCTGTTGTTCTTAGCTGATTACTATGATGGCGAGGGCTGAGTTGACTGAATTGACTTACTGAAAGGAGAAGGCCTGATAATCTGAGCTGGAGTAAATTGCTGCAATTTTAATGGCTCGCTCTGCATTGCATGTTGTTTCTGGGTGTACTCGCTGCCACCATGTCCATTCTGACTCATAGTAACCCCACAGGACTGGGTAGACCTACCACCTGTGAGATGCCCAGACTGTAACCCATTGCAGGAGTAAAAGCCTGCTTCTCTCCACAAGAATTAGCCGTGGTTTTGAACTGCTGACTCTCTGGGTAGCAATCCAACCTGTAATCACTATGGCACCAGGGATCCTGGTGTAGATTCCCCCAATTTCAACTATAATGAAGATTCTTCAGATCAAGAAACATTATTGTCTCCTCAGCGTACTGGGCCGATAGGGAGAGCTAGTTTATAAACTGGATATCTACAAAGGGAGTACAGGGAGAAATAAAGACATGAAAGGACTAGTTTACAAGCTTTCATGGGATGCTTAGTCTCAAGATAAGGGATAAAAGAAAGACTCTCCATCGAATTGCTTCCTCATTTTCATAGTGGGTCTGGGGAAGAGGGTGAAGGAAGATGTTGATAGAGTTATATGACTCCGTAGGGAGTGACTATTATAAGGGTTAATTGTGAGAGTTTAAAAAGTGTAATTGTACAAGATGGAAATGAGACGGGGAAGGAGGGCTCATTCTTCATGTGTGTAAGAGACAATGGCTAGAACAGTCCGAGGGTGGCCTGCAGTGAAGGGAAATTATGTGGCATGGCTCTCCTGCTCACATCCTATATACCTTTCACGAAATGACAGGGTCAGAAATTCTAATAACATGTATTAGAGGCTGATCAGAGGCTTGATCATTTTTATCATTCCATAGAGTATAAAGTGAGCCATCTCAGAAGCAAGAAGATAACTCCACGGCCACCACAAAAAAGAGTCCTGAGTGGTCTGTGCCAGAGTTCCTTTGAGCAGGAGGCTGCCTCACAGAGTGGGACAATTATCAGCCCGAACATTAGCAGAGGCCAAGGGCAGCATGGCTAAGAGTCGGAAGACCAGTGGGAGACATGTCTGCTTACACGGCTGACAAGAAGCAGTGCAGACAAAATAAATATTTCCTGACCATCTATGAGCCTGACTTATAACCTGTAAACTTCTAGAATAAACTTCCCTAAATGTATTGTTGCCGAGTTCTTTTTTTTAAATCATTTTATTGGGAGCTCGGACAATTCTTATCACAATCCACACATCCATCTATTGTATCAAGCACATTTGTACATTTGTTGCCATCATCATTTTCAAAACATTTTCTTTCTACTTGAGCCCTTAGTATCAGCTTCTCATTTTTCCCCTCACTGCCTTATGATCCCTTGATAATTTGTAAATTATTATAATTGCCGAGTTCTAATTGTCCATTGCAACGAAACATGAACCCAGCAGAGAAATGGAGTACTGGGAGAGGGCTAGTTGGTGTCAGAACAAGGACAAGGAGCCTACAGGATGGAGGTGTGCTTGACTTCTGTTTCGTAGGAGTCATTCCTGGAGAGATGTGCAATGGGATTCTCCTCCCACTTTGTGGGAATCAGACATGACTGCCACATAAAGTTTCCCTGTGTGTATGTATCATAACACGTATTCTTTTTCTTCTTCTGATGTTGTTGTTGTATATGCTCAATTATGACTTAATTTCAAGTCTGACTCATAGCAACCCTATAGGGCAGGGTGGAACTTCCCCTGTAGGCTTTTAAGACTGTAACTCTTGACAGTAGAAAGCCCCATCATTCTCCCCAGGTTAGAACTTCTCCGACCCTGTGGTTAGCATCCCAGTGGGGAGCCCTCACACCACCAAGGATCCTTTTTGTTTATGCTATCAATTAGAAAATCTAAATTAGCAAAGATGATTATCTAGCTGCATTTTAGATATATTGCCACTATATCCCTGGTTTACTGAAAGTTAACACCCTTGGTTATTAATAAAAATGTTAATGATCTGAATCCACCAGAGGTGCCTTGAAAGAAAGGCATAAAAGTCTATATCTGAAAAATCCTTTGTCTTGGTAACCCAGTGGAGTTGGGTCTCTCATAGTCCTGCTTTGATACACAGACGGCTGCCTTGATGTGCATTGACAGATTGATCACTGGTCTTATGAGTAAACACAGAGAGAAAACTTCGGGCAAGCACCAACCCTTTGGCATGAGTGCAGTGAAAAGTAATGTATTTTAAATGTATTTAAAGAAGGAATACTGTTTTCTTTCTTCTCAGATATATAAAGGGACCTAAAACCCAATCCACTCATGATTCAAAAAGTACCATGTATCTTCAAACTCATTCTGCCATTGTGATGGTATGTTGCTAAC